CTCACATTGGGTGAGTGGAAATAAGGTGGGGCAAGCAATGCCGGGATTAGGGGTGGTGACAAGCAGCGATATTCAATGAAGCAGCTGAAAGCCGCATGAGTGAGAGGAGGAGAAGCACCTTCCAGCTGCTTCATTGAAAGCCATACAGGAGATCACTGCTAGTCACCGCTGCAAAGATCATATCTGATCGTTCCATTTCTTTCCAGCCCTCCCCCCCCCCCCCACTTCTCCTCTTCTCCATCCCGCTGCTTTTAGCTGATTCATTGAAGAAGGAGAAAGAGGTTGGATCTGCTCTGTCTTGCCCTGTGCCCGCCCATACTCCGTGCAGCTTCAGTCGAGGTGTGGGCAGGAAATTCAACACAGCAGCCAACAGTTCTGAATGAGTATGAGAGTCTGACTTCCTATCTTCCTTCCACCTACCCCTTCCTTTCTTCCACCCCTCTCTTCCTTCCATCCACCCTCTCTTCCTTCCACCCACGCTTCTTTCCTTCCTTCCACCCCTTCCTTCCTTCCACCCACCCCTCCCTTCCTTCCTTCCTTCCTTCCACCCCTCCCTTCTTTCCATCCACCCAGTTCTTCCTTCCTTCCTTCCTTCCTTCCTTCCTTCCACCAACCCCTTCCTTCCACTTACCCCTTCCTTCCTTCCACCCCTCCCTTCCTTCCACCCTCCCTTCCTTCCACTCACCCTTCCTTCCTTTCACCCTCCCTTCCTTCCACCCACCCGCTCCTTCCTTCCTTCCACCAACCCCTTTCATCCTTCCACCAACCTCTCCCTTCCCTCCGATCCTTCCTTAAACCCCTCCCTTTCTTCCTTCCACCCACCCTCCCTTCCTTCCTTCCACCCTTCCTTCCTTCCTTTCTTCTACCCACCCCTTCCTTCCACCCACCCCTCCCTTCCCTCCAATCCTTCCTTGAACCCCTTCCTTCCTACCTTACACCCACCCCTCCCTTCCTTACACCCACTCCTTCCTTCCTTACACCCACTCCTTCCTTCCTTACACCCCTTTCTTCCTTTCACCACTCCCTCCCTTCCTTCCACCCTCCCTTCCACCCCTCCCTTCCACCTCTCCCTTTGTTCCTTTCAGCCACCCTTCCATTCATTCCTTCCTTTCTTTCACCCACCCCTTCCTTTTTTCCTTTACTCCCTCCCTTCCACCCCTCTCTTCCTTCCACTCCTCCCATCCTTCCTCCTTCCACCCCTCCCTTCCTTCCACCCCTCTCTCCCTTCCTTCCCATTCCCTTCCTTCCACCCCTTCCTTTCTTTCACCCCCCTCTCTCCCTCCCTGCCTTCCTTCCTTCCACCCCTCCCTCCCTTACAACCCTTTCTCCCTATCTTCCACCCCTCCCTCCCTTTCTCCCTTCCTTCCTTCCTTCCTTCCTTCCTTCCTTCCACCCCTCCCTTCCTTCCATTTCCTTTCTTCCTTCCTTCCCTTCCTTCATTCTGCATAAAACATTTAACACGGCCATTTCATGGCATAATTTACTAGGGCATGTTTAGAGGCGGAATTAGGGGTGGGGCAGGTTAGGGGTTGGGTGGGGCATCTGGTGGCAAGGAACTCTTAAGTCCTAGCTAGTAGCTCTCTGGTATAAAAGCTAACCATTGTAGGCAATGGTAAATGGTACATTTTTTGTCTCTTCCCTGTAATTGCTGAATCTGCAGTAGGCTCGTTCTAAAACAACAGACTTACTGGCTTATATCAGCAGGTGAAAATCCTAAAAAAGAAAACTAACACAGCCATTGCATCTATGAATTGGTAGGTTGCAATATAATAAATGTTTGCTTTTGGGGTTATACCACCATAGTAAAAATATATTATTAAAAAAACCACATACCTGCTGGCAACACAAGGTAAATTGTTGATTTGATTACCTTGGATAACATGAATTTATCACGTTAAAGGTATTGGGTAATGGTTTTGAACATAATTCCTTTTTTTTCTAATTATTTTAATCAGAAATGAAACCTAAAATATTTTCTGTTTAGATATATATGAAATACCGAATATGAATAATTTGCTTTCTGTTTTTAAACTACAGGTGGAGCTTTAGTTTTCTTTTAATGTTTTAAAGACTCTAATTTACTTCTTTGAAAGAAGCCAGTTGTTTGTACAGTTTGATAAATCATCATCAGCGACTCCCAGTGAATTTTTCCTGATTGGATAGCTCAGTCTGACGTTTCAGCCAAACAAACTGTGCCTCAATGTAAGCAGTTATCTTTTGTCATTCATTATTTGTAAAATAGATTTTCATATACAAAAGTTTGCCAAAAGTTTTGGGGTACCTCCTCCAAATCATTGATTCAGGCGTTCCAATCACCTCCATGGCCACAGGTGTATAAAATCAAGCACCTAGGCATGCAGACTGCTTCTACAAACATTTTTGAAAGAATGGGTCGCTCTCAGTTGCTCAGTGAATTCAAGCGTGGTACCGTGATAGGTTGTCACCTGTGCAATAAGTCCATCCGTGACATTTCCTTGCTGCTAAATATTCCCCGTCAACTCTTAGTGGTATTATAACAAAGTGGAAGCAACTGGGAACAACAGCAACTCAGCCATGAAGTGGTAGGCCATGTAAAATGGCAGAGTGGGGTCAGCGCATGCTGAAGCGCACAGTGCGCAGAAGTTGCCAACTGTCTACAGATTCAATAGCTAAAGACCTCCAAACTTCATGTGGCCTTCAGATTAGCACAACAGTGCTAGACTCTAGAGCACTGGAGATGTGTTCTCTGGAGTGACCAATCACACTTCTCTGTCTGGCAATCCGATGGACGTATATATGGGTTTGGCAGTTGCCAGGAGAATGGGTGTGGGGTTGTTTTTCAGGGGTTGGGCTTGGCCCCTTAGTTCAAGTGAAGGGAACTCTTAAGGCATCCGCATACCAAGACATTTTGGATAATTTCATGCTCCCAACTTTGTGGGAACAGTTTGGGGATGGCCCCTTCCTGTTCCAATATGACTGTGCACCAGTGTACAAAGCAAGGTCCATAAAAACATAGATGAGCGAGTTTGGGGTGGAGGAACGTGACTGGCCTTCACAGAGTCCTGATCTCAACCCAATAGAACACCTCTGGGATGAATTAGAGCAGAGAGTTCGAGCCAGGCCTTCTCGTCCGACATCAGTGCCTGACCTCAAAAATGCATTTCTGGACGAATGGTCAAACATTCCCATAGACACACTCCTGAACCTTGTGGACGGCCTTCCCAGAAGAGTTGAAGCTGTTATAGCTGCAAAGAGCGGGCCAACTCAATATTGAACCCTACGGACTGAGACTGGGATGCCATTAAAGTTCATGTGTGTGTAAAGGCAATACTTTTGGCAATATAGTGTGTGTGTAAGTTTTCCCCTTTAGTTTCAGCCTAGTATAGAGATGGCATGCTTAAAATAATAATATAGAAGGTTTAATAGTTTAGGAGGGAAGAGTGATAAACAGTGGTTATGTATTCCAAACAAAATATGTACCTTAAGACCTTGTTCACACTGATGCGGTGCAGGAAACGATGTGTATCCTGTGCGTTTCCTGCACCACATTGCAGTCGCATGGCGTTCATGCAATCTGATGTGGGCATCAATGTTAAATTATTAACACACCCCTAAACAGATCGCAAAACGCAATGCAACTGCCATAAATCGCGTTGTATGGGTGACAACACCCATGCAATGCGATTCGGTTGCGGGTAAAAAAAGGGTCCTGCGCCTTTTTGGTGCGAATGCGATGCAATTTTAGCCATACAAAATATATGGCTCAAATCGCACTGCACAGACATTGCATGGAATTGGCACAGGAATGCGATGCGATTCCTGTACAAATTACATGAGGTGTTCTGCACCACATTAGTGTGAACCCAGTTTTAAAGTAAAAGAAAAATGGAATAGGTTTGGATGTTGCACTTCTACAAAATGGCTGCTGCACTGCATAAGTTCCATAGCAATGAAGGTGGTGGGGTCTCTGTATTTGACTTTCCTCTACCTCTCTTCCGAGAACTGTGCACCACCTCCCCCTTCCCCCGGAACACACTGGGAGGAAGAAGAGAGCCAAGAGCCCAAAAATGTAAGGCTCAGTCTCTCTCCTTTCTGCACATCCCTGCAAAGGGATGAGGGACAGGGGGGGCAATTGTAGAACATGCAGTGGTAGAGTTGCTAGCTGACAGAAAGGTGCAGTGTCTTGGGTGTTGGGGTTTAGTGTCAGGGATGGTGGAAGGCAGGATGGTTCAGAGTCAGGGGCAGGGGTGGACTGACAACTCATGGGGCCCCGGGCAATAGGGGATCATGGGGCCCCTGTGTCCTTGCCCAAACTCAAAGCCTATGAAAAAAGGTACCAGGGGCACCTCATGAGGCCCCCTACTGACCCCGGTACCTCGGTCAGTGCCCGAGTTTCCAAATTGTCAGTCCGCCCCTGGTCAGGGGAACTGATTAGGTTCATAGGCAGGGGTGCTGGATGGGTTCCGAGGCAGGGGTGCAGGGTGGCACGGAGATGTCAGGGTGCAGAGTGCCAGGGGTGCTTGGTTTCTTTATTGGTTTTCATAGGAGGGAGGGGAGTCACTAAGCACAACCTGATATAGTGCAGGTTCCTGGACTGCACTGCCTGCTGATCTAGGGTGGGTGCAAGGGGGTGCACATGGGGAGGGAAGTCATTGGGATTACGTTATTAGAAAGTACAGTTAGCCTTTAGGTCTCCTTCAGACCTATGCATTGCCAACATGTGCATTTGACTGCAGTGATAACATAAGTACAGTGGGTGCCACCAGATCTACACTGCAGCATGTCTTACTTTGTGGTACGCTGCTTTAAAAAAAAGACCAGGTCTGTGTTTTCCATTGCCATGCCTTTCTTGATAAAATATGTGTCTTAATGCAAAACATGCAATTGAACAGGTTGGGAAACAATTTATTGTTTTTAATAAAATTGTAATGTGTTTGGTATAATCAAGCAATTTTTTGTAATGTTTCTCACTTTTGAACAGGACCAGAAAAGGAAAACAATTAAAACTTACAACTGCACAGGTAAAAAAGTGAGGCAAGCATGATGTGTGTGTCCAACATTAATTTTAAACAAAAGCTCCATACATTGCTATTCTGGTTTTTAAGTAGATCTGAAGCTAAAACCTTTTAAAAATGTTGTTTATTTTATTTTTTATTTTTGGTTGGAGTAAGATCTCCTGTCAGGTCCATATTGCTGTTTGTGTCCCTACCTTATCCTGGCGACCCAGTTTATTTATTTTTTTTAAGAAGTGGTAAAAAAGTTATATTAATAATAATAATAATAATAATAATAATAATAATATTGGTTCTTATTTCTATCTGCATCAGAAAGGTTCTGCAAACCGGACTGGTGTGGGCACATGAGCGTTCACGTGTTCAGGCATGTGACCCTGTGCATTGGGTGACGCAGGGTATGTATTTAAATTTATTGCTGACAGAATGTAGTTATCCCTCTACCTCTTTGTGCAGCAGTACTCTACATTTTATTTTGTTATAATAGGATTTATTGAAATTCATTATTAAAATGTAATCCAATAGTAAAATTTTCATCCTTGTTTTCATGACCATAGAAGTTACATTTAGTTTTTGAAAACAGTGGCAGGGTGTAGTAGTATTTGTAAAAGTGAAGAAGCTATAATGAAAATACCTGATTTTATTGGCTACAACCAAAGGGGATTTTTCTTTTAAAGCACAAATGTCACCGTCTGCTTCATCCTCTTTGTACATTGCCATATGGCCCAATTTACCTCTTGTAGGAAACAGAGGTATTCCAGGTCTTTAGTCTTCATTGTAAATGGAGATCACAGCAACTCCTCTATCCATCCTTGGAAGGTGACCTAGAGTGCTTGTTAGTCCACATGTGTGCAGGAGAGGAAACGTCTTAAAAGGCTCTCCCCTCTTAATAAAACCTTCCTTCCTGGCCTGTGCTGAAAGTGTCACACACCTCTGACCTTACAACACGTGATAGCTGTAAACTGACATTCCTGGGCTAGGTAGCTCCTTTGAATTCAATTTGACATTGTTGCACAATTTAAAATATAAATAGCCAATATAGGATAGTATAATGTAGTCAGTGTAATTTAGTCAATTTCAAATTGAAATAGATAGTATAGCATAGCATAGTATACTATATAGCATAGTAAATAAAACATTACAAAAATAGTCTATTTAAAATGTAAATAGCCAGTATAGTATGGTATATAGTATAGTACAGTGAATATAAATTGTCAATATAGTGTAATATATATAGTATAGTCAATTTAAAGAAGAACTCCGGGATAGGCAAAAAAAATCAGCCATTAGTACACCCCCTACACAAAGCACTAAACTGTTAATAACATTTTGAAGATCCTTACCATTTAGGAGAAAAGTCTAATTGAATTTTCACGACCTCATCTCCGTAGATCAAAAGATAACAGCATCTGCTCTGCCAAGGAGGAGGTGCAACAGCAGGGATTACATCATATCCTCTCCTCTGCCACTGCAGTAAAAGGAAACTACAGTTCCGACCAACCACAAGGAATTGTAGTGAATGTGGGCTGGTACACTAGGCCTGTGCATGTTGAATGTGTCTAAGATTCTTGGTCTGCCCACCACTGTAAATGGGGCTGAATTACATTGCTGTCTTCTGGAGAAAGAACTACAGAAGGGATGTGCCAAGACCTTTGGATGGGGGAATAAGAGGCATAGCAGCCACCAGTCTTATAAACAGAAAACCAAAGAGAATGAATGGTTTGATTTGAAAATGAACAGGCTATTTCAGAGCAACTACTGAGTGAACCAGAAGGTGGATGACATATTCAGTGAAGGAAAGGAATCAGCAACAAGGAGCTCTGCTTTAAAACAAAAATAGTCAACATAGTATGGTAGAGTGCAGGGTTTCTCAACCAGGGTTCCTCCAAAGGTTCCTTGAGCAAGGAGCAATTTCTGCCTCTCAGATAAGCTCCCACTGCCACCATTGATCTTTTTAGCTATTTGTAAGAGGGTAATTCTTCTCAATGTCCGCATGTGTAAGGAGCATCCCTCCCAATGACCAACACACTAATGTATCACCAGTTGTAGATATATGTAGTCATTTTTAGCAGGAGTTCTGGAGACCTGAAAGTTATTTTAAAGGGTTCCTCTGTGTTGCTATAGTCAATTTAAAGTTAATAGTAAGTATAGAAGAGTATAGTATAGTGCAGCGTTTTTCAACCACTGTGCCGCGGCACACTAGTGTGCCGTGAGATATTGTCTGGTGTGCCGTGGGAAAATTCCAATTTCATCTGTAACATGTGGCTTCGGCTCACAAATAGACCAATCATTAGAATCTAATGATTCAGTGGTCGGCAAGCCGCGGCTCGCGAGCCACATGCGGCTCTTTACCCAGTCTAATGCGGCTCTTCTGTGTGCCGGGCGCCTGCTCCCCTCCCTCCTCTCGGTCGGGCCGCTCCCCTGCCTCCTCTCGGTTGGCAGCCCCAAAAGTCCGCGCGGACCTTTTAATCCGGCTTGCGGATGTGGCTGTCAGGATGTGTGTAGGCGGGGCAGCGTGCCGAACGTGAAGGGGAGCTAGGCTCCTCTCACAGTCCGCCCTGAAGACCCGAACGGCGCGGGGGTGAAGACAGCGAGATAAAAACGCAGGTAAGTGAATTGACACGGGGGACTTGGCTTACTAGAAGGGGGGGGGGGGAATAGTAACTGTGGGGGATGAAATACTATATGAGGGATGAATTACTTTATGATGGATGAAATACTATATGGGGGGATGAAATACTATATGGGGGATGAATTACTATATCAGGGATTAATTACTATATGAGGGATGAAATACTATATGTGAAATACTATATGGGGGGATGAAATACTATATGGGGGGATGAATTACTATATGAGGGATGAAATACTATATGGGGGGATGAAATACTATATGAGGGATGAAATACTATATGGGGGATGAATTACTATATGGGGGATTAATTACTATGGGGGATGAATTACTATGGGGGATGAATTACTAATGGGGGGATTAATACTATAGGGGGATGAATTACTATGGGGGATGAATTACTATATGGAGGATGAATTACTATGGGGGATGAATTACTATATGGGGGATTAATTACTAATGGTTGGGGAATTTACTATATGGGGGATTAATTACTATGCTTACTATGGGGGAATATTACTATACTTACTATGGATGACACATACACATCATTCATCTACTCTTGGTCCGGCCCCCGGGTCCAATTATAAAATACTTTATTATTTCATAATAAAGTAATTATAAAATAATTTCTTTGTGTTTGATTCCTATTCAAGAGAATTACTTTATATATAGTCAATATAGGCACAGAGGTAAATTTTTTTAACATTTTCTAATGGTGGTGTGCCTCGTGATTTTTTTCATGAAAAAAGTGTGCCTTTGCACAAAAAAGGTTGAAAAACACTGGTATAGTGTATAGTATAGTACTGTAAATTTAAAATGTAAATAGCATACTATGGTACATTGTATAGTACAGTCAACTGAAAACATAAATAGTCAATATAGTATAATGTATAGTATAGTAAACTTAAAATGTAAATAGTATTGTATATAGTATAATAGAGTCAATTTAAAACATTAAATCAGTATAGTATAGTCAATTTAAAATGTAAATAGCCAGTATCGAGTAGTATAGTACATACTATAGTATAATTAATTGAATTTCTAAATAGCTTCTATAATATAGTATAGTGTAAGGTATAGTATGGTTTATTTAAAACGTAAATAGTCAATATAGTGTAATCAATTTAAAATGTACCTAGTCAGTATAGTATATAGTAAAATATAATCAATTTAAAATGTACATAGTCAGTATAGAAAAGTATAGTATATTGTATATTATAGTACTGTAAATGTAGAATGTAAACAGTCAGCATGGAATAGTATGGTATAGTCAATTTAAATTGTAAATAGTCTTTATAGTATAGTATAGTATATAGTATAGTCACATAACAATGTAAATACTATAGTATGGTATATAGTTTGGTATATAAGTAACATAGTATAATACAATAGATTCTAGTTCTTTTGAGGAAGAATAGAAAGACCTTTAATAATTCTGGATAGTAACTGGGCATTTCTTCACCACGGTCGAGCTGACCAATAATAGGTAAAGCTGCCAACAGACTTTAGAGGGTGATCTGACATGCAGGCTCTACACATCTGACATTAGGGCTGCAAATTACTTCATAAACTTGTAGGCTCTGCTTCACCTAATGCACACATGTGCAGAGGCGGACTGACAACTCATGGGGCCCCCGGGCAATAGGGGATCATGGGGCCCCTGTGTCCTTACCCAAACTCAAAAAAGCCTATGAAAAAGGTACTAGGGGCATCTCATGGGGCCCCCTACTGACCCTGGGCCCTTGGGCAGTGCCCGAGTTTCCAAATGGTCAGTCCGCCTCTGGTTATAACCCCTGTCAGTTTTTTTGCCAGCTGTGTCCCATTGGGGAGATTTCTATTCACTTCCTGTCCCATAGTCAAAACAGGAAGTGAGAGGAAATCCCTGCAAAGTGAAGGATTCCTGGGTGTGTCACCAGAACTAGTGTCCCCATTGGAAGATTTGCTCTCTGTTATTGTTCTGGTGTCAACCCAAAATTTGGAATTTTCTTTTACTTTCACTTTTGATGATAATGTTAAACAGGAAAAATAGAGGGAGAATCTCCCTAATGGGGCACAGACAGCAATAAACCGACAGGTGTTCTAATCCCTCTCCAGTCATTCTAAAACTAAAAAAAAATGTTTTGCCATTGGTGACACTTTAGGCTTTAGGGGATCTATGAGCTGATGTCCGCTGATCGGAGCAGAGGAGGACAGATGACTCATCTGTGTCCACTCAGTTTATGCAGAGCAGACATAGGCACATCCCTCTCTGGATGGTCAGGTGTAAATGGACTCCATTGACATCCGGCTACCTCCAATCTGGTATGCCATACTGCATGAGGATGCAGTCCATAAGGGGGCATGGACCTTCCGATCAGGTCCACCTGAAAAATTGTACCGGCTATGTGTTACTAGAAGATCCCTCTGTTGGACCTGAAGCTAAAGTGGGCCCCAAATGCAATATATACCATTATTTTGAATAGGATCTGCAGCATGACATGTAAACAGTCCCTGGGGTTAAGCTGG